ATTGCCCTTTCTGAATCCCTCCATTGATTCCCCTGGTCTAGAAGTTCAAGCTTTTGTCTGTACTACCTATCAGTTTTTCTAACTCAAGGTTCATAAATATCCATGTACTACGCTCACTGGGAAAGCCCTGTTTGAAAATCCTCTGTCCCAAAGCCTACCCAGCAAACACTTGCAGCAGGTAGCCCACTAATGGGCTGAGGCTACCACTGATCAGGTTGACCAGGATTGTTTTATTGTTTCTTTGTGCTGAAAGGCTTGAACTCTGCCCCTAAGATAAGGGGCAAGACAGTGAAATATATTTCTTGTGGAAAGAAAAGATTTTTTTAAATTGCAGAAATGCCTAACAGTGGAATGGAAACCCCACACGGTGTTTCTCCTCGTAACCTCATCAGGTCTCAGTGATACTAATCCCCATGTGCCTGTCTTTCCTGCAGGATCTTAGTGATTCCCCTCGGTGCCTGCTCTGCGCCAACCCGTGTGGCTGAGCCATGGCAGCAGCATGTTGTGGAGTGCCAACGATAAGTGATGGGGTACAAGAGCTCCTGTTACCTGATCCTGCCTTCAGAGAGCAGGTTGCTGCAGTCATGTTATAGGTCCTGCTGCAATGTGGGAGGGATGTTGGCTCTGCTGGAGCCATTTTAACCACATGAATCTCACTTCTGCCTCCACCCTCCTAGATCAGTCACAATTTGTTTCTCAGAATTTGTCAATGATAATCTCTTTCCTCTTGCTACAAATTTGAGACCTTCCTAAGCAGATGGATAGAGTATTTGCTGGTAGGAGCCAGCACGGAAGAACAACCAGCTGGCCATCATGACCCATATTTTCCATTGTTAAGGGACTGGATTAATAAAAACAATGGGATTAATAAATTCAATAAGCAGTGAAGAGCACAAGGAAATTTCACTGCTGGTGCAAAAGGGAGCACATCCCCCATCACCAGTGATGGTGCATTTGCTTAGCGCCAGCATGAAAGTCATCCCAGAGAGTCAATAAAGACTAAATCTTGCCAAACAAACATGATCACTCCTTTCTTACTGATTTACAAAACCAGCAGATGAAGGGAATGAAGAAGGAGCCTACAGCCAGTCCTGACAAAAGCCTCAGCTACAAAACATGACTTGAAAAATGAATGCAAGTTGGCTGGGAAATGAGCACTGTCACAGAGATTGAACACAGGCTGTGAGTCCATAAACAAAGAGGAACAAAAGATAAACATGAACATAAAAAGCTGATGGGAGAATATCTGGGGCACGGATTGAGTGTGGGGAGGGGAGGAAAAAAGGCTAGAAATCTGCTCTAAGTCTGGTTTTATTTAATGTCTATTAATGATCTGGAAGGAAGCAGTAAACACCACATTAATTCAATTTATATTTGATGTAACGACTCCTATGAATTAGAGAGGTGTTGTGTAAACCAATGGGGACAGATGCAAAGCATAAAGAAACCTAGACAGGCTGGAAATATCAAAATGACAGCCAACGGGCACAAGGCAATAGCCTGCAGGAGGAAGCTCAGCCTCAAATGCAGACACGAAGTGGAGAAATGTGCTTAAAGAAGGGAGACAGAAGGTCCTAATAACGGCAGAGACCAACAAACTGGCTATGAGCTTGTGGAGCAAACTCATCCCAAAGGAAGCGAGAGGGTAAGTATCTGGACCTATTGATTTATGAGGAATTAAGTCAATGAGATGAGTTTGGCTGCATGACAGCTGAGCAAAGAGACCAGAGTGTGCTCAGGCGTTAATGTTGAGAGAATCTGCTGGAGGTGAGGAACCACCCTGGGGACTTCTATCTATTTGGACACTGTAAACACCACAAAGGAGGAGGAGGACTGATTTATGAAGTGGAGAGGAAAAAGGGTCAGAAACAAGCTAAAAGAAATATAGGCTGGCTCAGTGACAGGGTGAGCTGTATTGCCCTGTGAAACAGCTACTGTGGAGGGGTCTGACATTTCTTCCTCTGAATCCCTTAAAACTAGATTGCGTAACAACACATGAGAGAACGGGCTCTAGAAACAGGTTTTTGTCTCTGAGAGGAGGGACTGAACGGATATACAGGGCAATGGCAGCCAGGGTCCAGATAAAAGGGTTTGTCTGCTAATACATAGACTCATAGACTCATAGAATGGTTTGGGTTGGACAGGACTTTAAAGCTCATCTGGTTCCAACCCTCCTGCCAAGGGCAGAGACACCTTCCACTAGACCAGGTTGCTCAAAGCCCCATCCAACCTGGCCTTGAACATTTCCAGGGATGGAGCATCTCATCTTTTGTGACATCTCATCTGTTGTAAAATCCTAAGAAGAGATGAGCCTCTTTCTCCCCTAAACTGCCCTCGCAGCACAGTTGTTGGGGAAGGAAAAAGAATCATAAAACCAGGGGACAGCTAATGAAAATAAAAAGAGAGAGGCCAAGGAACTAATGTGAGTGATCTGCCAGCAGGTACCACTAGGCAAAAGACAGGTTCAGATCAGGGACACTTCACAGCTCAGGGGCTGCAGTATTCACTGGGGACAAGGGAGACTTGAGCTCTCTGCCCCTTTCGCCAGGCTGAATTTGAGCCCACATCTCCCAGTGCCCCAAAGAGTGTCCTAACCACACAGTCTAGCAGAGGGAGCAGTGGTTACCAACCCTCCCGTTCATGCTTTTACTCCCCTCAAGGGTTTACTGGGTTACAGGATGAGGAAAGAAAATGATGTTCTCATCATGAGGGAGGTCTGGCTTACAGTCCCGGGAGAAAATGCTGCAGTGGTCAGGAGTGACTGCTCTAGCAGCAGAGTTACTGAGCAAGAGGAAGGCAGCCACTCAGTCTCTTCTCCAGGAGAAGGGAGGAGGTGCAGGGAATCTGAGAAACATTCAGCAGAAGAAAAGGGCAGGGTGGCAGAGTGAATTGTGAATTTCAAAGCTGACTGCTCGGCACAATACGGATTTGGATGGCTCTGGAGGCAGGACTAGAAGCTGATGATAAGAGGAACTTGGCTGACAGATGTGCAGATGGCTCAGAAATCTAGGCAATCTGAGAGTGAAGAGGAAAGGGCAAGGGAATTTTGAGGTCTGGTTTTGGTTATGGGGTAGGTTAATCTAGCATGAATGTCTTACAAGATCATTGTTTTAAGGTGTTAAACCTCCTTAGTGCACGATGAGAACGTCCAAAAGGTACTGGAAAATTACCCTTCATTTAGATAACTCAGTTCCCCAGACAAGCAGCTATAATGCATTATAAAATGAGATCTCATGCTCTGGGCTGAAGGTAAGGAGAAAAGAAATTTATCGAAAATCATGTTTTCAAGCATAAGACACTGGGAACTGGCTTCCCAGCTGCCTGGAGAAGATAAGGACAAAAGTGAAAGTGAGGAGCATTTTAATATATCACTGGTGAGGGAAGCATTAAACTTGGCAACAAGCTGTATTTCTTTACTTAGGCAATAGTCAATGTTTTGAAAAAACTACACAAGGATGAAAATAAATTTCAAAAAAAACCAGTTATGCCTTACTGCAGGCAGCTGGGAAGGCACCCGAACTCCAGATCCTCATGAGCAAGGGAGAAATCTCACCATACAGAATCATAGAAGGTATTCAAACATTAAGTATTTCTACTTTGATTCTCCTTATTATACAGACAGCCCGTGAGTGAAACAGCCATCTCCAATCCTAGTACAAAGAATATCTTCAATATGCAAGAGGTAAATGCCAGGCTCATGCTTTCTACGTACAGCTCCTAGAGACACTGAATCACACGATAGCTGAGGTTGGCAGGCACCCCTGGAGATCGTCTAGTCAATCCCCTGCCCAAAACAGGGTCACATTGCCCATGATTGTGTCTAGTAGAGTTTTGAATATCTCTAGGGATTGAGACTCCACAAGTCTCTGGGCAGCCTGTGCCAGTGTTTGACCACCCTTACACTGAAGAAGTTTTTTTCTTATGTTTTAGTGGAATTTCCTGTGTAGTGGAATTTTCTGTGTTTCAGTTTGTGCCCATTGCCTCTAGTCCTGTCAGTGGGCATGATGGAGAAGAGTCTGGCCCCATCTTCTTTACACCTCCCTCCCTCAGGTATTTATACGCATTGATGAGACTCCTTCTCCAGGTTGAATAGACCCAGCTCTCACAGCCTGTTCTTGTGTGTCAGATAGAATCATAGAATCATAGAATACCAGGTTGGAAGGGCCCTCAAGGATCATCTGGTCCAACCTTTCTAGGCAAGAATTTGCACAGTCTAGATGAGATGGCCCAGCACCATGTCCAGCTGAGTCTTAAAAGTGGTCAGCATCTACTGTTTAACAGTGGGCCTATGTTTTCCTTCTGTTTCTGCTTGCAACTTACATACCAGAAGAACCCTTTCTTGTTATTTTTGATGTCTCTGGCCAGTTCCAATTCAAGTTGAGCTTTTGCCTTTCTAACTGCATCTCTGCACGCTCTGGCAATGCCCTTGTAGTTCTCAGTGGACAATCTTCCACTTCTCCATCTCTGGTACACATCTGGTTTTAAGCAGACACAGGAGCTCGTGGTTGAGCCAAGGGGGCCTCTTGCTCCGTTTACTTCCTTTTCTTTTATAGGGGATAAACTGGTTTTGTGCTTCCAAGAGAGCATTCCTGAAGAACTCCCAGCACTCACTATCTCCTTTATCCTCCATGGAAGCTTCCCACAGAATCCCTCCCAACTGAGCTCTGAGTGAGCTGAAGTTTTCTCTTCTAAAATCTAGAACCCTTGTCTTGGTGCTAACCTTCAGCATGCTCAGCCGGATCCCGAACTCCACAATATTGTGATCACTGCAGCCAAGGTTGTTACTGACCAAGATATTACAAAGCAGGTTTTCTTGGTTTGTGAATAGCAGGTCCAGCAGTGCCTCATTCCTGGTTGGCACATCTAATATTTGTAAGAGGAAACAGTCCTCTACGCATTCCAGGAACTTGATGGATGACATGTGAGCTGCTGTATTGTTCTTCCAGCAAATGTCTGGGTAGTCACCTATGAGAACCAGGTTCTGTTGACCAGAAGCTTGCCTTAGTGTCCCAACTTATAAATATTGCTTCATCAGCTTTATCGTCGTGGTTTGGGGGTCGGTAGTAGATGCCCACTGTAAGGTCCTGCTTGCAGACGACCCCTCTGATTTTAACCCAGATGCATTCAATAGAGCACTCACAATCACCATAGTTGACTTCAATACATTCGAGGTTTTCCTTAATATGGAGTGCGACTCCTCCACCTCTTTTTCCCTGCCTGTCTTTGCGAAACAGCCTGTAACCGTCCATCATGATTCCTCAGTCATGTGAGTTGTCCCACCATGTCCCAGTTACTCCTATGATCTCATAACCTTCTGACTGGGCACAGAGCTCCAGTTCCTCTTGTTTGTTTCCCAGAATGTGTGCATTTGTATACATACACTTGAGGTGGTTGCTCCTCTGGTGCACATCTTGGGAGACAGCTAAGGAACACCCGTCACTGCTCTGGTTGGCCTGACTTACTCTCCAGTTGGATGTGGTGGCATGAGCATTTCTGTTTTGGACCCCACCCCTTGAGTCCTTCAGTTTAAAGCCCACCTCACCAAGTTAGGCAGCCTGTTGTGGAAGATTCCCTTGCCCTTTCTAGACAGGTGGATTCCATCCCTCCCTAGCATGTTATAGTCATCGAAGAATGCCTCATTGTCATAAAAGCCAAAACCCTCACGATTGCACCAGTCACATAGCCAGGAGTTGATATGCATTATGCACCTATTTCTGGCTACCCCCTTCCCTTGAACTGGCAAAATGGAGGAAAAGATAATCTGGGCATGAATGTTTTTCACTTGTACCCCCAGGACTTGATAGTCTTCCTTGATTTTACCCAGGTTTCGGCTTTCAGTGTTGTTCATGCCTACATGAAATAGTAACAATGGATAATAATCCATTTTCTTGATGAGTTGTGGCACCCTCTCGGCCACGTCTCGAACCTTAGCTCCTGGA